GTAGTGACAAGCTAACATTTTCAATACTTGGAAAGAGAGAGAAAAATAGTGAAAATATTAAAGTGAAAATATTAAATAGAATATGTAGTCTTGCTGGGAAGGGACTTCATGTGGGACACTATTAAATTGAATTACTTAAATAAAACAGCATCAGCAGAGCATTAGTTACCTCCAGGCAGACTGTCAGGCTGGGATTTAAATTCCCATGCCCAAATGTGGGATCTGAGAGTGATATCCTGTGGCAGTTCCTGAAGGTGGGTACAGTCGCAGGAGCTCAGCCCCATCTCCCTGCCACATACACCTCCTTTCCCCTTGCTAAGGAAAATCCAAACAAGTCTTTAAAAAAAAAAATCATGGCCTGAGCTTAGGCATGGAACCTGTAGGTTGACATGAGGTTGATGAGTTCATTAGATTATCCTGTGTGTAATACTGCACTTACATCTGAGAATTAACAAATGTCCCATGCAATACTATTGCATGACTCATGCATGTGGCAATCTGAGTGGTAGCTATGGCTAAAGGAAAAATCATGACCTAACAATGCCTCATGCATGTGGCAACCTGAGTGGTAGCTATGGCTAAAGGAAAAATCATGACCTACCTGCTACTTGTTGCTAGGGATGCACTTAGAATTTGGCCTGGTTTGAAGGATGCAATGAAAAATAACACTGGTCTGAAAAGTACTTTGAAATTGGTATGAAATCTAGGTGAATTAAAGAATTAAACCATCCAAGCAAGATACTTTCTTTTTTTTTGCATTTGTAAAATGCAAAGTGATATATTCCTGCATATTCCTGGGAAGAGGTCTCTGCTGTCTAAGAATAGAGGCTTGCATTGCAGAAATACTGGTTCCATTTTGTGAGAACTATTTATGTACAACTTGGGTGCGTGGAAAAGAGTGGGAAAAATCCCAACGCAAAAGCTCAAATGGGGCTCCTCGGTCTCCTTAGCACTGGGACATGCTGAATAGAGTGCCCGCATATCTTTATCAATACCATGGCTGTCCAAGAAGCTGATTATATTGCCTCCTCTCTTTCAGTAGCGCTATGGCGCTAATAGCTAATAGCAAACCTAAATTGCTTTTTTGCCCTGATAATTCTTTTCTTTCTTGTTTATTTCACAGTGGCATGGAAAACATTCAATCACTCTCCTTTTTACATGAGCATTTTGTATGTGAGAAAATCCTTCAGGTTCTTCCCTTTCTCCTCTTTCAGCTTCTGAACAGCCTTTTCTGCTGGATTGCTGCTTGCTCGTTCTCATTTTGTGTTTGTGCACGCAAGTCCGGCTTCCTCGTGGCAGGTTGTTGCATGCTTCCCTGCTGAAGCTCCTCCTGTTGATTTAGACTATGTCTCCAATTTATCAAGCATTCTGATCCTACCCTTCATAGGGGCTCCGAGCCCCTCCTAGCTGGATGCCACCTGGAAACTTCATAATAAAACAACTTCCTAAAGCCACTGATGAAAATACTGAATAGAACTGAGCCCTGGACAGGCACTTGAAAGTTTTCACTGGAAAGCTCTACATGTCTGACACTAAATTCAATGTATAGCGAGTCTAAATAGGTTGCATTTCCTCAGCTTGCTTATGAGAATACCTTCTGGGACAGTGCCAGAAGCCTTACCCAAGTCAAGATATATCACATCTGCTGGCCAGTTATCTTGTCAAAGAAGGGAATCAAATTTGTTTGATACAATTTGTCCTCAACAAAACCTTAACAAGCCCATATCAGCCATTTTTTACAATCTTATAAGTCTGTAGGCAATTACAGAATAATTGTTCAATAGTTCGCTCTTGTAAATTTTCTCATAGAGATGTTAGCGTGGCAGATCTATAATTCTCTAAGTTTTTCTTCATCTCTAGTTAGGGGATGTTTCTGTGCCAGCCTTAAGTCCTCTGGGATCTCACATGAATTCTACAGTGCTCCAAAACAATGACTCATGAGCCAGAAATACTCTAGCTAGTGTTTTGAATTCTCTACAAGGAGCTTCAACAGGTCCTGCTTTCATTCTGCTCAGTGATCTAAATATCATTTACCTTGCTCTTTCTCCTCCTCATGCTAGGAGTGCTCTTTTTCCCTTAGTAAAATTAATTACACTAAGCATCTTGTCACAATTAACATTTTTGTGAAGACTCAACAAAGAAAGCTTTAAATGCTCCACCTTCCCTAAGTCACTGTTTCAGGTCACCTTCCATGTTATAATAAATCTTGTCTTCTCCCTCCATGTCTTTTAGATTGCTTGCTAGTTATATGTACTTTCAGGTTTTAACCTTTCTGATTTTATGCCTATCTTCTCATGCTTTTCCTCTATTCTGAGCCTTAGCTAAGTGCCCTCATTTCCAGGTTTTGTATTATGCCTTGTCAAGCCTCAGGATGTTAAAGAGCACTTGATTCCCTATACCTATCCCTACCTGTTCTCTCTTCATTTTCTTTACAGCAGGATAGCTTCTTACTGGGATGTTGACCCACAACTCTGTCATCGCCTCTCCAATCTCTTTTATTATTTAGAACATCCATTGAGAGATTCTGCCTAACAGTTTGCTGAATTTAGTGATATTTGATATTTTATCTTCTGGAGTCCAAGTATTTTAGATTAACTCATTTTACAAAGATTAACTGCACCAAACACTTGGAACACTCATAGCAGCCCAAGGGATGCAAAAATGCGCGTTCAAGCTGGACTGCAGGTGAACAGATCCAATTTCAGCCACCTTCACACAGCTTTGTCTGTTACAGCCTGCCAGCTCACTGTGAGAACATCCAAGTCACTTCAGAAATAGCTCCATTTCTTCAGCCAAATGTCGTGTCAGCTCTTAGTTCTGACACAGTGAAGTCAATAGGGATTACTTGTGCAGTTCCAGCCAAAACCATCATGACTAAGACAGATAGCAATGGTCCTCTGTGCAATGCAAAGCCAGAGTTTCACTCTATAACAGGACACTAGACATTCAAACATTGCAGTTTTTGTTGCTTGAAGCACAGCATTGAGCTACTGCAAACTGAGGTTGACGGTCATTCACAGTTCCGAGTCCTTCACATATCAAAAAGCAATATGCTAAGGATCTTGTTTGTACTGGGATTGAATTTGTTTATCTTAAAAAGGTGACCCAAATCCACCTATTTTACAGACTCCTGTATCTCTCATTGAGGAATTACTTTTAGTTCCAAATCAGGGCCAAGTGGTTCTGAACTGGGTGCAGGAGGGGTGGACTTGCTATCCCTGCTGGCACCAGAGAGGGGAAGCAAGGTGTGGAAACCACAACTGCTGTGGGAGCCACAAACACCTGCTTCCTTCATCACCAGGTGTAAACCTCATGTGTCCTTTCCCTGTCACACAGAGCAGGGTAGCTCAGGCAGGGAGCAGCAAGCCACCAACTGCCAGTGCCTTGTCCTCAAGGGGATGTGGACTGGCTGAGTACGCAGCAGGGGCACAGATCCTCTGCCTGGGCTGAGAGCCAGCTTAGTCCCTGTGCAGTGACGGAACAAAACACAGAAAAAAAGTTAATTCCTGCTTTTGCAGGAAGCGGGGATATATGTTTGGGCTAAAACAGGTAGCACAAAGCTGATGCTGTTTTCTGAACAAAAGCTAGACGCTTTCTGGTGTGCACAGGCAAGGCACCCTTAAAGAACAAAAACAGCCATTAAAATAAGCAAGCAGGTCCTCAGATACAGAATGGCAGAAAGTATCATTCCTTCCAAGGCAGCCAGCTTCAGGTTTTCTGGCAATCGCTCCATGGAATGTACTTGCTGTTATATTCCCAGTACCTGAGGGGATATTGTTTTTAAACCCACTTTGTTTTCAAGGTGTTTTCCAAACTAAGGAGCATCATTTCTGCAGATCCTGCTGTCCAATTTAATATCAGCTCTTGGAGGACTGCCAAGCTCTTTTGCCTGAAATGGCTTGTAAGGGCTGGCTGCTGAGAAGTCAAAAGGTCAGCATTCTGCATGTGGATTTTGTTAATTATGTCAAAGATAAGGGGGGTAAAAGGCGGGGGAGAACGACAAGTCTTCTGGCCATATCACTGTTGGAAGCAAAGGCAGAAGCAATCTCTTTGTAACTCTTTCTACTTCCTTACACAATTACTGCATTGCTGGGGGAGGGAGGCCTTTTGTAGGGCCTTATGCTGACCCAGAAAAAGAAAGCATGACAGAAGAATTAGGATTTTCTTGAAATTCTTTTCATATGTTTAATTCTTTAATTTTAAACCTTACATAACTCCAGAGATGACATCTACTGCTTCTCCCCTATACCCGTTTTGTTATCCTGGTAATAAAGGGAAACTAGCTTGGTTTGACAGTTTATTCTTGACAAATCCATATTGGCTGTCACTCATCACATTTCACCCTAATTTTTTTCTAATACTTTCATCATTTAACTTGCATTTAAGGACAACAGTATCAATAGCACCCCCTCTGCCTACCTGCAAACAAGACAGCCTGTTGCCACTATAAAAGCAGAAAACCTCCCTTTGGGATTGTCTATACCAATGTAATTACTCATCCTTCAATGTGTAATGTTGTCTTGTTATTAATAGCAAGAGATTTATTTGTAAACAACTGAAATGACACAGTGATGAGAAAACTGTTCATATCTGCTTGATAGGAAAGGGGTATGGCCTCCTGCATCCTCCAGTGAATGCCATCCCCCTATAGCCTAGGAAAAAGCATGTTTTACACTATTAGATGCTTCCTAGCATGCATTGTTATTTGGCATCACTGAGGAATTACATGTTTTGGACAACACCTAGAGGAGACCATTCCAGGCTCCCATGCAGAGAGGCTTGACCTGCAAAAGAACGAGTCTGTTAGGTAAGAGGGGCTGAGGAGACCAGAGGCAGTAGCCCTGCTTCTGGTCTCCCGAGTTTAGGGAGACTGTAGCTATGAGATTCCACTTGGCTGCAGCTCCCACCTTCAGAGCTCCCCTCTACTTTTCAGGCACCTGTCATCAAACCACACAGAACAGCACTCCAGGGCATGTTTCCATTCAACCTGGAGGCTTACACACACAAGAGAAACCTCTAGGGACCTCAAACCCCAATCAAAGACTGACCGAGGCCCCTGGGAGAAGGAAAGTTCCCTTCCTCTCCGATGGAGCTGTCTAGGTAACAGTCTGAATATGACATGAGAGAAGGACATAAGCTCTGGAAATCAAGATTCAACAAAAAACCACCACAAGACACTGGAGCAAAAGTTACCTATTTTATTACAAAATCAAAATCAGACAGATGCCTTTCAGTCTAACAAACAATGCCATAGTCAGAAATGCGCTGGTGCAGGGTAAGTTCAATATAAATTTTATCTTGTGCTTGAAACAATTCCCTTCATATCCCCCAAAAGGCCGTGGAAAGCATTGCCTTCACACAAATGAATCCCATCTTAAGGCAGTTCCCTCCAACTCTCTACTTCCCTGGAGGATCAGCAAAAAAAGGAAGGGTTTTTGCTTCTGGCAGAAAGAGTAGATGACTTGCACTGTGGATCCCTGGTTCTCTTCTCTGTCCCAGCTACTTTCACCTGTCATTCAAAGCAGAGCTGGCGAGGTGCAGGAGGGCTTGTAGGGGGACTTGTAGGGTTTATTATCCAATAAACATGTCCAGGGTCTGCTTTCAGGTACAACTCTGACACTCTCCCTGTCCCAACTTCAGTAGGATGCTATTGATGCGAAGCAGAGCAGAACACACTTGTCATCTCCAGAGAAGGACATATTTGATTACACCTGCCTCACAGCCAGGGGGAACGGCCAGTTCCTGGCAAGAATAGCAACAAGGAAAGAGGGAAGCTGAGGCATTGCTCGGTGTTGACAATGAGCATGCCAACTGGCATGGACTGCTTGAACAACTGATTGAATGGGTTTTATGAATCAGGACCAGGACCTTTGTGAACTTCCAAGACACAAACACAAAACAAGTAACCTAACCCCTGTCCAGACATCACACAATCATGCTAGCTTGGCCTTGCATGTCTATGCACAAATGTTGCTAGAAGTTGCTCAGAGGACTGTGCAAACCAAGCAAGTGAGTGACTCTTACCTTCTCCCATGAGGAGAGAAAGGGAGGCAATACAATGCTTGGGCCACAATCCATCAGCAAAGTCAGTTGCAGCATAGCAACATGGATCCTCACCAATACCAAAGCTAACATCAACAGCCACCCTTAGTGTGGCTTCCTTGGGGAGCTTATTCAATTTTAATTGCAAACTGCATGTGAATGCAGGCCTTTTAGAGGGGAAGGACGCAAGGATAAGCAAAGAGGAGCTCTGCAGTAGGATTTACATGACAGACAGCAGCCTGGGCTGGCTGGTTTAGCGACATTTCCGGAAGAAAAGATACAATGAGTTTTAGCAGGTCTGTGCTCCCTCCAATCTTGTGGGGCATTGCCTTCTAATGGCTGGATTAGATAACTTCTCATCCAAATTGCTGCTTTTACTAGATGCAGATATATTGAAAAAAAGAAAAAAAAAAGAAAAAAAGAAAAAAAAAGAAAAAAGGGAAAGGGAAAGGGAAAGGGAAAAAGAAAGGGAAAAAAGAGAAAGAAAAAGCCAGAGCTTTTAAATTCCTAAAACTAGCATATAAAGAGAAGGTGAGGTTTTTTATACAGTTGGGTTCATTCTTCACTCCTACAATAGCATTAGTGAGTAACAGGGACATTTCTAACTATACACTAAACCAAATCATTTCAACACACACACAGAACATATCCCAGGTATTTAAAAGAGATAATGCAATTGAGAAGATGGGAAGTGGTGGGCCAGAAGAACACACATATTGTACGTGAGGAACCGTGACGATCTAACAGCAGGATCTGCTCTTGTTAAAGAGAGTTTTTCTTTACGTTGTGCTGGTAAAATGTACAATTCAGAGATCAAGAGAGCATTCTCAATCATGTCAAATGCTTTAATCAGTTCCAATCTACTTCCCAGAGAAAGGGTTATTATCACTATTAAACAGTTATTTAAAGATTGTTAATTTTCTTTAACTTTCAATTTTGGCAACACGGTTCTAACTTGCTGTATCAGGACACTCCTGCTGTGATGTTTCTCTCATGCCATCATCACAATGACATTCCACAGCATGAAGATGATGTGCCACAACATCTTCTACCAAAGCAGCAAAGCCTTACAGGGCAAGTCCCATCTCTACAGTAATGCAGTGCTGTTAGAGGCAATTGCTGGTGTGATCCCATACTAGCATGGCACGATGCTATCTCTGACTGCAGGTTCTTGGTGCAGAGATGAGTGGCACAAGGATTCCCAGGTTGGAAGGGGGAAGCTGCTCTGAACATCCCCTATGAACGGGCAAGTGCTGCCAGAGGTTGGAAACGCACAAAGCAGAATACCGTGCTTCCCGTCATGCACTACCCACTCCACTCAAAACATAAGGCAGCTAATATGGGTTTCCTCACCCTACTGTCGATTTTACAATTGCGCCTGACAAAGATTAAGTAGGCAATAACTTTGGAAAAAACTGCTGGCAGTTGAAACAGCACCTGTGGCCTCAAAGAGCAACAGGCTCTTCAATCCAAGCATTCACTGCTATTTTAAAGTGACACTGCAGTAAAAAACACAGGAGGTACTGATACCAGAGAATCAGGTGAAGGATACTGTAAGACAGACAGGCATACCACTGAGCAGGAGAGGAGCTTGGGATTCATAGCCACCAAAGGCAAGAACTGTTACTGCAGACAATCCTTTAGCAGGGAGTGTGGCCCAAGCTGTAGAATTGAAATGCATGTAAATCACTCTCAGAGACCAGCAATATGATTGTGTCTTTCTGCACTGACAAATATTGTCTTAGCTCTCCAGCAAAGCAACAGGCAGCCTGATGCTGTTTTTAGCAGACTTCTCAATCTTTATATATTGTTATACATCATACAGATGAACATCTCATCAGAGAGGAAGATGCGTGACGTCACTTTCGGGACTCTACCAGGGCATACAGCTCCCATGTCCTTACAGTGTTAGATTCCTAAGACATGGCATATATTTGCTAAGCACGTCTTTTGAGCCTGGATAGTAATGCATTTGCAATTCATTTCTGCCCAGACTGCAACAGGTGCAAAAACTACCTTTGTATTTCCTTAATACAATCCTTCTCTATCCCTTCTTTAAGCAGCTTTGCAGTACACCAATAATCAGGTGTAATCTGTGCTCTCTCAAAAACCCAATGCCTGCGCATTGCAAACGGCTTTGCACTTAGAACTGATGGGGTTCAGCTGCTCCCAGGAAGCATTTGATATCTGGCTGTGGCACTGTGTAAACATCTGTGAACACAAGTCATGCTGATATGCTTGTTCCTATGTGCATGGGGACGTTAAGGAGATCAGTTTGCAAATAAAGGACGGCTTGATGGCAGACATCATTGCATTACTGTAATCCATTAAATGCAAAGTGTCCCTCTAACCCTAACAGCCATCAAAAGCAAAGGGAGGGACAGAACAGTGACTCCAACCCCTGTACAAGACAACTGTACAATTTACATATATATTTATATACAGTATATAAAAATCTCTTTGAGTCCCAGTGAACTCAATTTTAAGTCGTCAGTAGCTGTTCCAATATTAAAAAGTCTTGATCCTGTTCCCACCCCTCCCCCAAAGTTATTAGATAATGACATTGAGAAGAGATTAAAAACATACCCAAACCCAACTCAATTATTAAAAAAGTGCAAACGTTCTGGGTGCCACTTCTGCTACGTTGGATGTTGCTGATGCTGTATGCTTGCTCACAAGCAGCAAGGCTTGCTCACAAGCAGCAAGGTGTCTGTCCGTCTGTTGCTGTACCTTTCTTTCCTTTCGGTCAGCTCTTGCCTTCCCTTCCTGTCTTCTGCTCCTACACAAGGCGGCCTACTGAAAAGGATGGGGTAGGGAAAACAAACACACACACAAAAATAGAAGCAGGGAAAGGGAGAGAAAGGCAAATTAAAACCAAAATGGTAGCCAACCGACGTGAGATACAATTCAGCCTCTGTTGCGACCATGGCCCCCAGAAGGCTGGGATCCTAGAGTAAGCTGTGAGGCTGAAAACAGTGAGGGGCTAATGAGACAGCGTTGCTGAAAGAACAGCATTGAATGAGTCACAAAGAGCCCTAGGGATTGATGCGTTTTTAAATATAAACCACCACTCTTCTCTTCCTCCCCCTTCTTGGGAATGGGCACTCAGCCTGGACAAACAACTGGTCTGACATCTCTCCCACTGCTCTTCCTCCTGCTATGGTTGATGCAGAATCCCACTGATTTAAGGCAACTCGGCAACCATCGGCCCCCTTCAGCAGCAGCCACCTGGCCTTCTTCCCTGACAGGCAAGCAGGACTCCAAGGAGGAAAGAATTCAGTGAGAGTCCAAGCTGCCTCTCCGCAACTCTGCTACAGCAAAAGGCAGCAGCCTCCCTGCTCAACCACTCTTAAAGACCTCACACACCATGCACTCTGAAGTCCAGCATGATACTGAATCTGCTGAGGGTATACTTGGAGCAGGAAGTTCTAGGGCCCTGCTAAGCTATTAGAGCGTCCCAGTAGAGGGTACAAAGGCAGGGCTTTGCGAGTCAGATGGATGTGCACGCCCCCCACACTTGGTTCTTCAGAAAGCTTTTGTTAAGTCCTTCATCAAAGGTTCTTAAAGAATCAAAGGCTCTTATGTGATCAGAGCAAGTGCTCCTTCGGGATTAATAAGAGGTGAAAACATGATGAACAGAAGGCAGGAGTACAGACTTGGTTTTCACAAAGGAGAAAGTTTACCAGAAAGGCCTCACTGGGACCAGTGCTATTAGACATGCCCTGCCAAGAGGAGTGAATACCGACAAATGCAAAATTACTCAGGATAATCATATCTGAAATTGACTGCACAGCTTTGCTCTCACAATGCTCAATGACTGGGTCATAAAAACAGCAGATTAACTTCAATACATGCAGTGCAACACCTGAGTTGGGGAGGGAGGTGACCTGTGTTACACTCAGGGACTCTGAGTGACTAGGAAAGAGTTTGGAGCAGACAGAAAGCTCTTGGGATGCTTCCGCTCAATTTCTAGTGGCAGTCAAAAAGCAAATTACTTGCTCAGAACTGAGGCCACACCAGGAAACATCACTATACCAATGAATAAGGCTTAGCCAACCCTTATCTTCAGGTCTCTGTTCAGCCCATCTCAAAAGGAACATGCCGCAGGACAAAGAAAGGTACCCAGAAAAGTAAGGAGGATGGGCAGAGGTATGGGAAGGCTTCTATCATTAAGCAAATAAACAAACCTAGGGATCAACAAGGAAAGACGTCTAAGCAGACATATGTTGGAAGGCTATAAAATAACAGGCGGCATGGGAAAGTTAGGTGCAGAAAGAGTGCAAGAACTACTCACTGTTTCTCACAACACAAAATGAGAAGCACCCAATGAAACCAATGAGGCAGCAGGTTTAGAAGCAAAACAAATAAATGTTGTTCTTCATGCCTGGCCTAAATCTCTGCCTTAGGATACGGTGGAGACCAGACCTTAACTGGGACAGAGAGGAATCCGCATGGGAACTTGTCCATGAGGATGAGACAATGTAAATACAACAAATCACCTGAAAATTACAAAAAATCACTTGCTGGAAGCAGGGAGGATAGGCTAGGAGAATGTTCATCCCATAGTTCCTCTATCCTATGCTATTTCCTTAGCCATCTGCCAAAGATGAAGACATGGTGCTGGACTTTGAGCTGATGCAGCAGGGCTGTTAATATGTTCCCACCTCTTATGAACACCCTTGGGTTCCAGCTGTTTCTATACTGCTATCCGTGAACACAAGAGAGCAGGGGAGCATGAATTTTGGGATACATGTCTATCATACAAGAAAAGGGAAACAAACATTTTAATAAGATACTCACTGAAGGGGTTAAGGCCTTGTCTTTTTCCATTGGGGAAACTGCTCAGGCTACCTGTAAAATCCAAGAACCATGTTAAAGGCAATAAATGCCATTGCATGACAAGGAGCCTTCCCACTGTCTCCTGCAGGACAGGCAGCTTCCACGGAGCTCCTTTGAGTGCGCACACACCAAGTGCTGCCAGCACTCCTTAAGATTCACATACAAGAGTCAGACTAATATGCTTGAGATATCAGATGTTAAGTACCTTGCGCTGTAGTATCTGAACTTCAAGAAATCCAGAGGTTTGGTATGGGTAAGAAGCAACAATTACAAAGTTAAACTAAATTGTGGAAGAAGGAAGAAGAATGGAAGGATGCAAGTAGTGACATGAAGTCACTACTTTTTGCAAATGGCAAACAGAAGAAAAAATGCAGGCCCTTGTGTGTGTCTTATAGAGGGGGGGCAGCCAGTAAAGTGAAGGTGCAGGGAATATAGATAGCCCAAACTTACTAAATCTCTAGTGACCAAAAGCTTAGACCAAATGATCAAACAGCTGCCTAAAATCAACATTTGAGCTCATATCCAGCAGAAGGGGAGAAACAGACTGCACAGGTGGGAGTGCATCATGAGATACAGGAACAAGCACCTTACACCAGATGGAGCTAATGACAAGGGCTTCACCCCTAACAATAAACCAATTCCTAGGAGGTGCTAGGTAGAGGCAACTCAGGAATCAGAGGAGCGTGGCACTCTTGAAAGCTTGTTATATTTCCTACTATCTACTTGGTCTAGGTTTCAGATGAGGGCCCAATGGCTAGAAATGGAAACTCCTGCTTCCAGCCAGAACCACTAAGCATGTTGCCACCCTTCACTCTAGCCAGGCAAAAGACTTATCTTTGATTTGTGTGTGCATCTGACCTGATTGTGCAGCTTACTTCACATATCTAAGTAATTTAACTTGCACTAATATATACAGGTGTTCACACCAATGAAAAAAACTTTGCTTTGTGCAAGAGAAGAATAAGAAGAAACTTAAAGAAAGGTGGGAGAATGGGAAAGAACCCCAGGAAGACAGGAAGCTGCACTATAAGAAAGAAATGGAATCACTGGAAAGGAAAATAGAAGGAGGAAGAAAGGTGGTGGTGACTGAGTTTAAAATAGATCACAAAGTAAAACCTGCTGGCTTTAATAATTGTTAATAAGAGGAACTGTATTAATATCGTAAGTTATTTCGAGGCCCCTGAACACCAGCCTCGTATCAGCCATCTGTCCTGGCAAGATCAGAGGAACCACTGTTAACTTATTTCTGCGCCTGTATATAAAAAACTGGGCTCTGTTGCCGAAAGGTAGATTCTTCCAGAGCTAATTGGGACTCACCCAGGGGTCTGGCAATAAAAATCCAGGACCTTTATGAGTCTCTCCTTTAGCTTATTGGATGCTTGCAGATCTAGGCTTTTCCTCTGGCTGCCAAGTAATACAGAGGCCCCTAGAGGGTGCTGCTCTGTAACACACAGCTTTGCTCACTGGCTCTCTGAAGTGCTTTTCCAGGCCCCCACTCACCCGCCTGATATTTGGGTGCACACAGAAGGAGACTTTCCAGTTACTGCCCTGCTCCCTCTCCCCCTCCCCGAACATGAAATACCACATAGATTTAAAACGATGTCACATGTTTTCTTTTCCAGGAATTGTCTCACTCCTTCTTGGCTTTTCACAGCTACTAAGGCTTGGTGTTGGAGGAGCACAGTATCCTGGGCCGCCTGCAGCAAAACCATCTCCCTTTTAGTCAGCATATGTGCAGCAAAATGTCTCCTCTCATTTGCTAGTGTTTTCACTCATCTTTGCTGTCACTACTGAAGCTGGCTTCAGTAGCTCTCAAAGGTTTACTTCCCCCTCCTTCCAAATTTAAACGAGCAATGGCTTTGGCTAGGTTTTGGTGGAGTGTACTTAATCCCCTTCTCAGTTCAAGCAGTCTGCACATGCGAATAAGAACGTGACAGGAAAAAGCTTTTGCACCCAAGACAGCTGAGACTACTGTGTGTTGCTGTGACTGAGACTCATTTGTCTTCAGAAAGGCTTAGGAAACTTCAGCTATCAATTTAGATACTGAAGTTCTAAAATTACAGGTGGGCTCAAGGCTGGGGACAACAGACCTTTCTCTCACAAGTGTAAGGCTCTGAGCTTTCTTTGGGCTTGTCCCAGATACATCCATGCAGGGAAACTATATTCTCTGCCATTGGAGTAAAAGACAATGAGTTTCATGGTAGTCTTTAATCCTCAGTCAGCTGCCTTCTGTATAAACACTGGCCAACATGTACATCTACAGAAAATGAAACCTTACCAAAACACAGTATTGCACCAAGCATAAAATTGACATGAGAGAGAGGAAGAAATATGGCAGATGGTGACAGCAGGTTATTGAAGTATGCCTGGGAAGCACTTGGGTATTACAGGGATAACAGCAAAGTGCCAAGTCATATTCCCATCACTCAGTAAGTCTCATAATGCAAAGTATTTGCGCAGCCTCACAGACAGGCTATTTTGGGCAGCAATTCTGCCACTGTATCAGGCCAGATACCTTGCAGAAGGTAAAGCCCCCAAGACACTCTAGCAGCTTTCCATAGGCAGAACCTATTCCTCCGAATTATTGGGCAGATGGAGAAACATGCTACCAAGAGCTCTATCTTGTGTCCTCAGCACATCACGGATGGCCTGATCAGTACTAACCTTCAGGTAAATTTCTGCAAGATTAAAGGTGATAAACTACAGTACCCCAAGTGAGCTCCAAAGTGGGATATCTGAACAAAGTAAACAAAAAAACACACTCAATGAGTAGACTTGTTTACATTCATTAATGAGATGTAATCTGAATTTCTATTTTTTTTTTTTTTTTCACTCAATCATTACCTGGTTATATTCAGCAAATGGTATTTTATAGCTTTTTATAGCCTCTCAGACTAATGTCAGCTATCTACCATAACTATTGCTCTTCATAACTCACCAGGCCACATAGTAAATCTCGTCAGTAAAGAGGCTTTTCCCAGACGACTGCTCCTTGCTAACTGTTCCCTCAGAGCTGCTCGCATAACAGTGATAGAATATCACCCTTCCTACAAGGCACCCGAGCATACAGAAAATAAATCACTACTGCAGAGACCAAAAAGAAGGGTCCTGAACATCACCAAATTAAATCTGCTGTTTACATTCTTCAGTATTTTTTCTTCCTCCTGGTGTATTTGTTCAACTCCAGTAGAAAGTGACATGCTGTTTAATTAACCCACCCTGCAATTTTAATGAAGACATTTTGATCTTGTTTCTGAATTGTGCTCTTGATAGTTGGCTGTTGCCACAAAGAGCTGTTGGGTTCCACCCCAGAAACCCTCATGGCCTGTGAAGCATACGCAGCACCTTCACTCTGACTTTGGATGGCAAAGCAATCGTGGGATGTGAACTGGCAGAAGGAAACTTCCCTTCATCTGGCAGAGGAACACTTCTTCCCTGCTTAATCCCTTAGCTGCTCTTTGGGCATGCACAACATGCTGACTTGGTTCTCTGAACTTAAAAGAATATAGAGGTAAAACGGAACTCCAACATTCTGCAGCTAGCACAGTTAGTATAAGCCTTGCTCGGATCTACAGTTCTAAGATCACTAGACTCCAATTAATCTTGGGTTCAGTAACTTGCCAGCAAAGTTTTGCCGTATGTGTCCATCTCCTCTCAAGGACCATGTCTTCGGACTGATGCACAGAGCTAAATTTGTTCTTTGATCACAGACGGTTCCCCCCTTGACTCAGGCTGTGCAGACTGCACTGATGAATGCTAACTTTTAAGAGGTTGTAAGTCAGTCTATTTTCCTTCCACAATGCTTCAAACAGACAATCCTCGATGAAACGAGGGCAAAGACTGTTCCTGGCACACTATGAGCTACAAGCCCTCCATCTGTTCTTCCCCAGTTTAAGGAACCATTTGCAGGCTTCTGCAAGCCCTCCAAGGCTGACTCTTGATGGCTACTCCATTCCGATTGATGAGAACGACACTTCTCCATCAGAGTTGCCCCTGGTGGAAACGCATCTGGTTTAAGCAGAGGGGCAAGAACCCCTCTGCAAAGTGGCCACTGGATCTAGTGGACTCCTCAGCAACTTCCTGGGTCATCATAAGGATGGAAGAGAGGAATGGTTGCTGGCTAACTGTACAGAGGTTTTCCTCACTGAAGAACCACTGGCTGGCAGTGCAAACATTACGTGACCACAGGGATCAAGTGCCTGCTGAGGAGGGGAAGACCAATAGAACTATGCATCTCAGACAGATTTGATCCTAAGCTGGAAACAGCTCAGATTCAGGTTTGTCCTTTTCGATATCCTGGCTGAATCCTCCCAAACAAATCTTATTTGTTTAGTCTATCTAGTGCCCATGAGGCATATAACAGTGCTGATTTATGCCCTGTGCTTCCACCAAGCAACACTATTTCCGTGTTCGGATGGAACTGCCCAGAAAAAAAAAATCAAAAAGTAAAATACTGACAAAAATGCAGAAACTTTAGCATTTGTATTTCTCATCATCCCAAATCCTACAAACTTTGTCTTTAAGTTTGGTTTTCAAAATCAGTGCAAGTGTTCAATTAGTGCAGCAGGAGGCACAACCACTTGGAATGATGACCAACCCCGTTCTACTTCTTATGCCATGGGATACTAAGCAGGATTTGGAACAGTTGAGGCAAGTGCACTAGTGAGGAAGCACATCAAGGGGAAATGATGGTGTTTCTCTGCCTCCCTCAAACCCCTCCTCATCCAAACTAGACCAGAAAAACCTTTCCAAAACAGATCATAAACATTTCTATACAAAGTTTTGGTTTCATCCGACTGGCACTTTACAATAGAAAGTATGTAATGAAAAAGATTCCCAGTCAGCTCTTGGCTTGGACCCCCAGTGACCTCAACCCAAGCAGATGTGTGGAGGCTGTGGCATAGAGAAAGAAATATAGAGAGGAAACACATGGACTAGTTGAATGACTGCATGCATCCATTATTTTGGGATAAGGGGAAGCTGAAGAAGTAAGCTACTGACTATTTCTTAATTGAGAGGTTTTTGTGAACAGAAAGCAGGGTAAACATGTCCTCTACTGCCTCACAAATTCATGACTCTTTTAAAAAGGTCTATCATAAGCTTGCTTATTGCATCTCTAGTCCTCTCCTTCAGTTATTTTCTACTTGTTAGCATCTGCTCCCTGTATTGCTTTCTAGCCCTCTGTATTACTTTCCCCAGTCATTTCTCCTAACAGCTCCTCTCTCATGTAACTTGTCCATTTATCTTTGATCCCTGAGGCTTGTTGGGCCCCTAGTAGGTATGTGAAGTTGTGTGATAAAAGGTTGAAGCCCCTTTTTGCACACACAATCCTGTCCTCATGCAATGAAAGAAATCATGAAAGGTCAGGCTGTGTTCTCAGCAAATAGTTTGGCAATCAGACACTCACAACATGTGTCACTTGCTGCTTTCTTTTTCCTTCACTCTGGATCAAAGATTCTCATTTTCCTCCTTCTCTCCCCAGCACCCCACCTTCCATAAACTAAATTCTGAAAAGTCAGTTGGCCAAGGCATCAGATTCCAGAGAATCTTATTCCAGGCCAAATAGCAATAAAACTTATTTGGCATATTCATCTTATTGGGAAGGCAATAAAATTAAGGGACAGAGTTGCTATTTTGGTATGTCATTCCTCAGTAAGGTACTGATGACTAAGAAAAAGCTTCCACTGAGCTAGGGAAACTGAATGCTTCTCACAGCTGATGAGTAATGTGCCAGGCTTGTTATTCTAAGATGTTTGCAAAACACCTAGAAAAGGCAGCAATATGCAAATGCATTGACTCCCTTCCCACTTGTGCTAAACCTGAGGAAAGGAAATCACAGGAAAGGTTAAACCTGGAAAAAACAAGCTTCCCGCCCTTCCCAACCAGCCTGATGGCTATAACAAGAGCTGTCCGTACAGCCAAAACACCTGCACAGGAAATTAGTCCCCTGGAATCTCCCTGTTTGCCTTCTCCTGCCAAGCAAATCTGTCCAAAGTCAAGTATGACCAATAACTATTGAATTTGGGTTGAACAGTTTCAATTAATAAAATTTCCAAAAATATTGATTTCATCCAGATCCCAGCAGAAGATGAGGTGAGGATGAAAGAGGAGAAAAAGGAAGGAGGGTGGGTTGGTGGCTCAGGAATTAAAAAGAAAAAAAACCCTTGTTATTCACATGCCTCATTTCTTTCCCAATCTTAAGGTGCAATTCAACCCTGAAAAAAAGGCAACAGTACAGTCCTGTACTTTCTTTCTGAGTTGTTCTTCTCTCTGCGTCATCCACTCTCCTGCTTGCTGGATTTAGCAATGAAAATAAATATTATTTCTGTTAGTCAACAGGATCTCTGGAGAAGGACTGCATCTGTGCTGGCTCATACATCATCCAGCTTACGTGTTTCAGACGACAGAATATGGTTAGCAGTATATTACTCAGAAAGGACTTGATCTGAACTACAGTTTCCAAGGACTTATATACAGTATAAGCTGGGTTCTGGGCAAGGGTCATTTTTTTGACTTGTATCTGTATAGTGCTTAGCACAAATGTCTGTAATAAGGGCTTTAAAACAGGGCCATAACACAAATAATAAACTACAGTTGCATGGCAGGATATTAGTCCCACTCATTTTCTCATGTGAACTGTGGTGCTTTTAATCACCTGGGAGGAAATTGATTCCTGAGTTTGCTTTAACTCCATGCAAGTCCTTTATTCCCACAGAATAGTAAAAGAAAAGCACTTACCTCCTTCCTTGCTTACTCCCAAGCAGCCCTTCAGCTCCTGCAGTGAGATAGACTTGTCCTTGTTGAGGTCACAGTAGTCAGTGAAACGTCGGGCACATTTCTTGGGCTTGGCTTTCTTCTTCACGTAACGCTTGAAGGGCTTCAGCTCCCGCTTGTTGATGTCATTGCTGCTGTTGTTGTCCAACTGGCTGAAGTACCAATGCACCACTCGCTCCTCCAGTGTGTGGCTGGGGTCTGGCTCAGAGAACCTGGAAGACAGGAAGCATAGGCCCCCAGACAAGCGGGGTGCTTTCATCAACAGTCAAGCACGTGCCAAGAAGCCAGAGCTGCTTCCTGAGTTATACAGTCACTATGCCATATTTAAAATAGGACAAGTATGCATGTCTTTCAAGTCTCCTCCTCCTAGTTGAGCTCTTTTGAGAAAGATGAACTTTTTCTGAAAATGTCTTTTCATACTAACAAGAGGTACCGAAAGAGTGCTGGAGACCGGTACTCTCAACAGTTCAGGTTCTCCTGACATCAGTTGCTGAAACTCGGCCTAATTCTAAAAGGATCCCCTTTAAAGCATGAGAGGCAATCTCAATGGTCTTCAACGGACTCTTGGGCTCCCACTGAAACTACCAACAGGGGAGACATGAATGCCAACTATCATGGCAGTTTCTGCGATAACAACACCTATACTTCAGAAAGAGAACAAATGCATTTAACGCAAGACACATTTACTATTTGAAAATGTCCTTGGCATGAGGCAACATTCTTACTGTATCTATTTATATGATCTGAACTCTTGTGCTGTATTTGCAGCATATTTAATGCTTTTCACATGGTTGATTTATACACAAGAACTCCACAGCCGACGAGCACCACAAATCCATCAATAAGCAGTACTGCAGAACTGGCAACTTCATTCTGCTGCATTTCTTACTCATTCTGATATTACAAGTTTGACATTACTTGGCTCACATTTTCCTTCTGTGGACAACAACAACAACAACAACAAAAAGATCAGAGAGAAGAAGAAGACAAGAAAAAACAACAGCTGAGGATGGAGGAGTAGAGAACGTTGCCATTCAATTTCAAGCCATTATTGAACAAACACTGTTATATCATACTGTTTAAGCAGTATCTGAGTATCTGGTGCTCTGCTGCAACAGTGAGAAAGGAATTCATCCTCAGTGATATGAAGGGCCAGGGAAGAAATCTTTTCTAAAGGATAAGAATTCTCCAAGAATCGTTCTAAGACAGTCAGTCTTTTCTCTTTGTAACGAGTGTGTCAACAGAGTAAGCTGAAACGAGACTTGAGCCTTCTTCCTCCCAAGAATAAAGCATTCTAGTGCATGGAAAGTACTGGATAGGCAGCATTCAGACCTACTACACTGGCACTGGTTGCTCTGCCTCTGACTTATTCTAGGAGACACCTGCAGCTGCTGCCTAATTCCTCCCTCCCCCAGCAGTGAAAGAAGGACAGTTGCAGGCTTCAAGCGTCCAGATTCTGGTGAGAGTTCAGGGCGTTCTAACTGATGAGGAAATACAAACCCAGATTCAGCTTCACTGTAGGTGTACCTTGTAAAATGCATTTTAAGATTGTCATCAACCTCATTTCACAAAATGATAGGTTAAATATTTAAACTGTCACACTGAAAAATTCTTTGCTGGGATTAGAAGGGAGACAATCCTTTTGACCTTCCAAGATGACCTACTTTGCCTCTAAAAAGCAGCTACAGAACCTGACAAACAAAAACCCTACCCTCCCTCCTTAATAATTTACCTCACTGGTGAAGGGGAGTCGGCAAGAGGCAGAAAGCAAGCGTTGGAGCTTAGGTGGAAGACAGAGATCCCTGGTAATCTTCTCCAATAGCTTTTACAAATGAGAACACAATTTAGAAAGGTAGCCCCTATTCAGAGACATCTGGAACCCTGACACAAGTGAAAACATTGGAGAGAGGAAAATAAACGGCACAAGATTTTTCCTGAGGTTTTACTTGTGACTGTTTCCATCATTTAAATCTTAGTTGAGAAGCAGCCTGGCACTCAGTCACAGCATCTGGTCAGTGCACAGGGCAATAAACACTGGGGGTGAGCAAGAGGTTAGGGATCAAGTTCGACTTAGTTTTGGGAGCCAAAATACGAGGCAAGCCCCTCGTGACACCTATGGACCAGTAGAAATTGCAAAGATCTCCCCAGAAAGCTAAAGAAGTGACCAGATTTTTCAGAGCATTGAAACTATGTGTGAAGACCAGGAGGACAAGTGAGAATAAAAACACATCCTGTCGCTTGTTTTTATGACATTTATGAACACAGTCATTGGCCTCTCTCCCTTTTAGAAATAAGCTGGCTCTCGTTTGAAGACTAGCTGGTTTCCAAGAGCCACAAGTAACTAGAAGTTCTGGATTGCAAAGGAAGATCTTCTGCTTTTGCTGAGATACAGGAAGACAACCTGATCTGTGGTTCGTCCACGCCTTGGCTTGCCTTGGTGTCTCTGAGCTCTGTTTCCTGAAGGCCCAGAACTGGAGAGGCAGAAGTGGAGAAAACAGCAGAGCATCCCTAGAACCAACACCTAAAGACAAACAGGAACACAAGCTTCTCTCTGCCTGCTGAAGAGACATTCAGAAGCTGGAAGGAAAAGTGCATCAATTTAAGAGAGGGACCAAAAGAGGGAACATAACTCTCTTGAGTACTTCCATAACGAAAACCAAGAAACCATGAGGTGATGATATATCTATCTTAGCCATTACAAACATGCTGAGTGCTCATGCTGAAAGCTAGAGCATGCTAATAGAGCTAAAGGGAATTAGTTTAACTTCTATGACTGTAGGAGGAAGGAAGACATTGCCATTATTGAGGTTTTATCACTTCCTGTTGGCTGGCTAAGCAGTATTGGCAGTTCCTGAGTTGGTTGCCTGTCCTTTCCAATAATCGTCCAGAATCCCAGCCCAGGAAGTACTCTGAGGAGCCACAGCATCTCAGTGCAGCCACTTCTCCCTGGCTTATTGCAAAATTAGGGGATATGCTAAGAAGACAAAGGTTACAACAGAATACCTAAATATCATGACTTTGATGGCTGTCCCTACAAGACACTGATGCTCCATCCATGAAACATCAGTTTATGGGAATTCACAGCATTGCTAACCCACCTAACTTTGATCATGCACCACGACAACATACATACTGGGTCAGCTGAAATGTATCTGGGGACTCTAACTGTCCTGCAAGCATAGACTTTGCTGGAGCGTTCCAGGAGAATTTCCTTCTATTGTCTCTCCAATCCTGTTGCAAGAGAAATAAATCAGCCCTCAGAATTACACCTCATTTGTTGGGTTGCCTCTCCACTCATTCAGACCATAAAGAAATCAGAAAAAACAAGTGAGAGCAAAGCTGCTCTGTACACTCTCAACTCCCAGCAGGAAAACATCTCTTGCTCTAACACTAGTCACATGAAAATTCAATCCAATGAATTCCAATCTCTCAGTCCAGTGCAGTAACAACTTTGTAAGAACTAGTAAAGACAGACCATACCAAAAACCAGACCTCCTTCACTCTCATACACAGTTATATCTGCCAAGGGAAGTAAGTCTTTCAAGCAGAAGGGGTTGTCCGTGTATATTTCATGAAGGGGTTGGTGGGGGGAAAACAGGACATTTAGCAGAGCACAGAGAGAGACTGCCCTTGGTTTGTACCCACAGTGCTGATACAAATACAGGGTTATCTATCCGGCAGGCTGCTATATACTATAGAGAGACTTGAACTAATTCACTTACCAAAAGAAGCTCAGTGCTGTGGGAGCAATGAGCTCTGACCAAGCTAATTTGCTGAATCTAAGGAAGCTAGCTGAGCGAGCTGGTATACAAGCGAGTAGATTTAGCCACACTGTGCAGCATAAACACACCCACAGTCCAACAAGGAAGAGAAGCATGGTCTATCATTAATAGCCTAGGACAGGCTATCTGTGCTCTTTCAGCTTTCCTCATTCTTTGGCATCAAGGAAATAGTTTTCTCTAAGCAAGCCTTTCTTCTTCCTCCTGTATACTATGCTATCACCTCCATCATAGGAGGAGAATATTTATTTCTTAGATGACTACTGCTTGGAGCTACCTGGTTTAACGTATAAACTATTACTTCCAACAATACTACTTTGCTAGCAGAAGCACGCTTCCACAGATCATGTCATCTGGTGTAGCTAGGGTACAGGCAGAAAGCAAAGAGGCTATGAAAAAATACGGGCACTTGGTTTTTACAGCTGCACTGAACTCTGGAGCAGACAGCTTTTCTGAACATGTGCTCTGCATGCAGCCTGTAATGCTTTCTAGCATAGCAAGATGGGAAGAGTTGACTCAGTGGGAAGGACCAGGCAAGAAGGGAATGCGTACAGGGCAAAGTAGAAGAGAGTAGCAGTGTCAGTTGCTACCCACATACAGAACCACATACAGTGTGCAGTCACATTATCCTCCATAGGACTGTTTTGTCAAAGTGTAACGTGCCTCTCTAATTGCTACTGATCTTTTGCTCCCTACACACTAGCAGGCCCATTGCATTGAGAAATAGGCTGCAGTGACTCACATCACTGTTGCAGTGACAGAAAGTCCTAATACAAAATCCTGCTTTGACAGAAAGCCGGGGTGCAAACTCTGAAGTATCCAGCAGCTTATCACCCATTTGAAACGCTTTAGGAAACTTATTATTTTGTAATACGAATTTTATTTAGCAATGATAGCAGCTGAGGCAGGAGGAGGTAAGGGGAATAGGACCAGCATAACATCACCTAACTCCAGACTGCAGAGGCTGCTAACTATAAAGCAGGAGGAGTTACTCCAGGAAGAAAGAACGCTGATGGACGAGGAGCTGCTAGCAGCTGCAGCAACAGTGAGTCCAGCTTCCACTCCTAACTCAATAAAGCATGTATTTAATCAGGATGGCTACAGGATTTACAGCTGGAAGTTTCTATGACCTGAAAATATTTTGCAAGTATGTATACCTTGTCTGGTTCTGTTGCTGAACAACAGATGGACGTGAGCGAAGCTAAAGAACTCATAGGACTGACGCTGCCAGATAGTCAACAGCTCTCATGGGCCCCAGGAAGATGCCCAGTGTGAGAGGTGGAGAGTGATAAGAGTTTAATAACCTAAGGTATAATTCATAATTGTTCTTGCTCTGCTTTCACTTCTTGCTCTCCTTTTGTTCTTCTCTGCAGCTGCCTATCCCAAAGTTAAAAGCTGTAACTGTGGAACATGGCTTGAACTAAGAGGATTACTCTAATGAAATTGCAAAAGGATCGCATATTTGTTTTCTCATTCTCCCTTTGCTGCAGCAAAAGAATCAAGAAGCTAACCCAAAAATAAGCTAAACGAAAGGGTACTACACAGTCCAAACTCATGGGGAATTCATAATTCCTTCACAGTTAAAACTTAAGTTATCTTCCTATTACATGTCTGTTTTTAACCTCTCCTCTAGCTAAGTTTGCATGTGAAATTTTTCTGAACACAACCTTTCAGATTAGGGGATAAATTGTTTAGAAAATTAAAAAAAAAAAACTGAAAGGTTTAAAAAATGTCTCCCTTTGCCCCTCATTGACTTTTCAAAGAGCCTCCTCTTACACTAACTCTCTCATATCTTTAATTAGGCTAGTATTTCCATAGGAGCATAAAGAGAATTTGGTATCCAACTTCAACTGAAATGCAATAGGAGTTGGGCATTAACTTCCCTGTACTGTTTGAAAATGTCAATCTTTATTAAAACATGGCTCAACTTCAGAACACCCCAGAGATGTGCTGAGCTTTACTTGTCTGCTTCAAACTACTCAGCTAGAGCATGAAAGGGAACCTTGGGGGCAATTTCTGAAGGACTTTTTAGGGCTATTACATCGGGAATAATTGGCAACTTAAAATGAAGGGACGCAGCTGCTGTGTTACACTATAGGGACTACTGCTGTAAGCTGCCCCTTTAACCTAAAATTCCACAGCGCATTAATATTTTTGCTGATTATGTAACAAGCTATAGTGCACACATTTTGGCAATTAAAATTCATTTCTGAATTGGCAGGGACTAAAAATAGTTTCTTAGATCAGGGAAATCCAGGCTGGGATCCCCTTTGGTCTGTTTTAGTTTAGGCCCTGTGTGATATGAATATGTCTGACTTAGAAAATTAGTCATAGACTAAAATGTACCAAAGCCAAGTCTGAATTTTAAAGAAATGCTGCTCCTATTATGTAGGATTTATATATGAATAACTTCAGCTATATGTGTTTTCAAAAGGATACCAAACACTGGTTAATAAACCAATTTCCTACAAGCGTTCCTTTAATTGCTTTGAAAACATAAAGTAACAAGATGTGCCTTGGAGTTATTACATAAACTTAAGAATGAATTTTACCAGAGATTTTCTGTTTCAAAAGTCTAAATTAAGTCTACTTGGCTATTTTGCTGTAATATAAACCAGGGCCATGAGGAAGGGAAGTTCTCATCTCATTTACATTATTGTAAAGCAAGGGTAACTCAATTAAAGTCAATAGCTTTGAACTTGCTTAAATGAGACAAGACCTGTAAGGGATTACAAGGTTGTTTTAAGCATGTCCAATAAAAAACAAGGTCCTATCAGGTTTTACTTATATTGCCTGCAGCAACCCAAGTTGTACAGCCTCACTGTGCTGCTACTAGATTGTTTTTGTGTGTGCCAACTATAAAGTGTGCAGTTTAGCACAGCTCTGTGTAGTATTTTAAATGCAGATCTCTATCATTTATCCCAATGTCTTCTCTTCACCAAGCAAAAGCAATAAGGACGTCAACTGCAAAGCCACAGATAGCCTTGCAGCATAAACAGGTAGTGTCTTGAAGATGACGACACTCAGCAAATGCAAGAGGTTTTCACTCTGCGTATTCAGATTCAGATTGAAAGCCACAGGGTCATCTAATCTGATTTCCTGTATATCATACTCACAGAACATGAATCAAATTAACTCTTAAGAAAATAACTTAGGCTTGACTAAAGTGAGTCATTTTGAAAGGCATCAGGCCTAAGATGAAAGTCTTACAGAGAGGGAATCCACCACCCGCCTCATTACTTTGTTCTGCCTTAGAATTGCCCTTGCTTTAAAGAAATTTTGATCACAAGTTTGTTTATATACGGCTAGTCATGTTCTTCCCTGCTAGACTAAAGAACCTGCAGAGTTTTTGGACCTCCTGAGATACTCAGTTATAAGAAATCATCTTTCAACCTTTCTTTTAATACCCAAGGAAGGCTGAGCTCTAAGACTGTCGCTGTTCGGCTTTTTCAGACCTTGAATCTTCGGCAAGGCTCTTCTCTGTGTTTGGTCACGTTTTTTAATACTGATACCAAAGGTGCATATTGTATGCTAGTATTCATTTCTGCTGCCAAGGAGAGATGGAAATTCACCCCCTCCCTTACCTAATACTTGTATTTGCTGCTACTCTGATTATAAATGTTCATATTTTTCCCCCAGACGCACAGTGCAAGCTCATAACCATTTTAGAAGCTGTTCATTTTTGGGTACTACCTCAGTTCTGTGTCTGTATCTTAAAATACACCAGGCAATACATAGGGCCAACTGACAAGGGGGATACAGCTTGCTGTTTGCCTGGCCTGCCCTCTGCAACAGGCACAAGCTTTGCTGGTGATACATTTAAGTTTACTTTAGATCATTGGCTGCATTTGTTCAAGCACTAAAAAGGTCCAGTTGTGAAGGTCACAAGCCTGAGAATTTCAGCTTGAAAGATGAAATGCTGAACACTGTAAAGGAACAGAAAGAGGGAGGCTAGAGAGGAAACTAGTGCGTGCTTAAATGCAGTGCCTGGTTTTGCTGTCGTTATGACAAAGAGCCTGCAGTAAGTGAAGCCTGCCTCACAAATATGATTGCCTCAGCTGACATTAAGAAAAACCAGACAGCCAGATCTTTAGCTTTTCTTTTCAACACAACATTCTCAGCACACCTGGGCCAGGGAGGAATAGGATGAGCATTCTCATAAATCCAGTATTTTGTTAGTTGTTGAGGCTAGACATGAGTTGATTGGTCCTATAGGGAAAATACTCTTTCCTCTTGGAACAGAACTTTCATCTCCAGGGCCAAAGATAAGTTGGACCACTGAGACAAATTTCAGATGTTCTTGAAGAGCGGACTCAAGACTTTTCTCCCCTTGGGAAACCTGGAAAGCAGAACTCATTGCGTAGAAACAGCTTCCCAATTTTGCAAACTCAGGGATATGAAATGAAAACTGTACTGATTAAATTTTTGTTTAAGTACCCAGGCTTCCTTGAAATGCTTTTTTTGCAAAACAAATGACCCCATGATGGCATGCTGCAATGGAAAAGCTTGACGCATGCTCTTTGGGGTACGTTTCTAGCCTAACTGATACACATGGAAGTTGATGCCAGAGCAGTTTCCTGAATTTAGTCATGGCTGTGGGCAGGCAGAATATTTGGGTGGCAGTAGCCTTTTGCCTCACAAAGGATGGCCTGCTAAAAGGCTTCTTTTTCCCCTTGCACGCTGGACTGCTGACACTGGAGCTGAAAATAAATCAACATGACGACTGTGTGAAGAGCTGGGCAGTGAAAAATTCTGCCAGAAAGGGCTCTATTGAAAGCTGAGAAATACACAAAGCTTGGGGAACATTAGGAAGCAAGCCTGCTGGGTTTATAGAAGTGCAGTGGGGGCATATATCTCTGGTCTCTACAATATTAGTTTATACTAAGCTTTATTTTAAGAGTGATGATTACGTTGGCTGGGTTTCAGTCTCTGTGCCAAGGATGCCAAATAAATATCAAATACTCTCCAGGGCTTCCTGCCACCCCTACCCACTGCATTTGAACCATGCAAGTTACACAGAATTGACATTGGAACGCTTATGCCTGGGGGAGAACGACGTATTTCCCATCTTAGGGGCATTTTTCATCCTGTTTATATGAATACAAACATGCTAGGCTAGGCATATACTGCTAATTCAATGGGTTACAGAATATTCAGCTTGCAGGCATTCAGCCACTGGCCTGATTTGTAAGGTCCAAATGCAAAATTAAAAACATGTGGGTTCACAAGAAATCCATACTGGAAACAAGAGGCACAAAGGTGCCACGCAGGAACTTTTTGTTCTGCATAGTTAAAGATGCCATTGCTTCCTTCTGCCTTTTGAAAGAGGAAAGCATGGGATCAACATTACTCTCAATAGGTTGGAGCAATAGCCATAACAATAACATATGCACAAAGACGCCTCCTTTATCTCTACACCTCTATGAACATGAGTACACTATGTACCATCCCTACATCCTAAGCCAGCACTGTCTCTGCTTACAGCTGGGGCAACCAGAACCATAGAAGTATTGCCTAGTGAAGCCAATAGAGCACTTCTTTTAAATCCACTGCAGTCCATTTTCAATGGCCTGTTAAGCCTGGCATGCTACAACATTGCAGCTGCCACACTAAGGGGGTTTTCTGTTATCAAGCAGGAGGAGGAGAGAAGACCTCAGCTTTTCTCCAGTTCCCCAGAAAAGCATACTTCTGCCCACCTCTTGCAACAGGCATGACCTGCTGTTCCTTCTAAGGGGGCTGAACAGGCAGCTGGTCAGAGGGGAGGGTCATGAAAAACAGCTTCTCTCCTCATCCGCAGACTGGCTTCAGCCCCACAGAAAAACCACAGTCTTGTGGCACTGCCAAGAATTCAGTTCACATTCTTCACTCCCTGTGGTAGCCACTAGGCCACACTGTCTCCTTCTACCCATTTGCATTTTATTAGGTCTTTTCATGCACCAGGGGACAAAAGAACAAGCTACTTCCTCCCACTGAGCTCTCATTTCACACTTCAAATGGGCTATAGTAACCTTTATGGTAGAACAGCTGCCAGGGAGGAGGGGCAGGAGAAGGCAGGCAGGATTATGATGACAGAACAGAGTTGGAAGATGCGGCATTAGCTCCTCTCACAATAATCCAGCTGAATCAGAATCAGCTCAGAGCAACAGCCTTCCCTCCCAGCCCCCCTTCTAGTCATCCAGAGGTCTGCAGCCATCTTGTTCACGTTAAGCTCCAGTGCTTTCCAGACTCACCTCCCACCCCCAGCAGGTGCTGCTGAGTTAATAGCCTGTACCATGTCTGTAGTGAGTGCATCAAGTAAGCTGGTAATAAACTCGACTTTCTTGCCTTCTGGGCAGCCTGCGGAAAGAAAAGAAGAGGTCTAATGTGAGAATGTGCAGGATAGGTCTCCAGTCCCAATTCAGCAAGGATCAGCCACAACCTCCTTTGTTTGTAACACGGCAGTCATCAGCACAGTCCCTAAGGAAAGGCAGAAGAATCCCTCAGTGGGTTTCTCTGCTTGGCAATTTGTCCTGCAGCTTTAATCCAGGCGCACACAGAGTCACCAACAATATCTGGCAGGAGAACTGTGTGGTTAGCTTTACAGCCTCTCCCAGTTCCCTACCAGCATAACCATGAGGATGTGCTGGAAGCGCCTGGCAGACAGGAATTCCCATGGCGAAAATTGTAGAGAAGTTTACAAAATAACTCACTACCTCCTGGGTCATCCTCCTCTGAAAACACGGCTGTTCTGAGGTCCTAACTGACAGCTTAAAGCTTCCCAAAGCATTGGCCAAAGTGAGCACTGCTGCTTGTACTCTCCTTGGGCACAAAGAGTGTTGCTTGCCAGGAGCTCCTACAATAATTCAGTTCTTTGCATGACCACACTGCATGGGAATTAAGTCAGACGAAGCCATCACATGGCAATAACCTCCAGTCACTGCTGGTTTAGGCAGGAATTGGATGAAGCGGTCTAAAGATGAGCTTGGTAACCATTTCCATTACTTAGTCCTAAGGCCATCCAGTTCCCCATCATCATAACCACAGACGTAACAGAGCTTCCTTTCCTTTATGGTGTCAGCCTCTTACAACAGAGCTGAGAGGAAAATCTCCATCTCCTCACCTTTATGAGGAAATCTATGAAGTTTCCTTGCTTTTTCCTACCCTCCCTACATGAAAAGAGGAAAGAGCAATAAGCATGTTCCATTTACTACCACATTAATATTGTAACAATCAGTTTTAGCCTACCAGGAAGCATACTTATCCTTGTCACCTCCAGAACTGGCCTCACTCTGCAGAAAGGTTTTTTTTTTGATCAGTGCTTCTATGGTTCCCCATCCCATTGACTTCTCTGATGGGACACAGAAGCCATGACCACATCTCTAACTTCCTCTGTTTCCCAAAAATCACCATTCACTACCAATTAGTCATCTGATTTAGAAAACGTCCGGGACATCAGGAGAATGGTGTCCCTCTAGTAGCAAGTAGCAATGTCAACATTTTCCCAGACAAGCAGAGAAGCACATGCACCCCGCAAGAGAGCACCAGAAACTTACTGTACTGCCTTGACAGATGAAAACAGCTTGCAAATTGCTCTGACAAAACTCTCTCTTTTGCAGTATTAGGAGCTCTGTTCTCTGCAATATCTAACCAGCAGTCCCTAGTCTGTCTCCATATTATGTGCATTACACACACACGCCCCTTAGCACTCGTTTGGCATATGGTCCAGAAAATGTCAGCATTGTAATAGGTAAGCTGCTACGGCAGTCAGAGTAGATCACTCACTTAAAGGAGCTTTTTGTTGCAGTAATGAGAAGGTTGAAAAACCATTTGCTAGAAGTCATCTCCCTGGGGCCTCAGCATGTCACCGTCTGCAGGAATTAGCAGCCTGCCATTTGCTATGTGCAAGCAACACTTTCCTTCCTTCCTTCTTTCTTCTGGCTCTTGTGGGAACAGCCACAGTTCACAGTTTGTGAAGAAGGTATGTGTAGGTGTGCAGGAATTTGTACTTATGTATCTCCCACCTTGGCCTCTGCAGGGTCTCTTCATGCAGGACAAGGAGCATGTTGCCTGCACCATTTAGGGTCTGAAGAATGGGGAAACCTCCAGAAAAGGAATAAGGCAAGGGGTCTCCCTTACACAAGTGAGTGCCAACAGAAGGATTAGTCTCAAGTTTAGGCAGAGGATTTTTTAAAATTCAGTTGTGGCAACAAAGAAGCACAGAAAAAGTAAAAGGAAACATCCTCTCTCACTCCTTCCTTGCAGTTCTGGCTCACCAGTGAATCTTCACATCCAAGTGCAGCTAATTAAGAAACTTCAAGTCTCCATCAAGAGACCATGGACTACATCTCTCAGGGAGACTAACCAGGACCAGTAACTCTTCTTCCATATCCTAGTCCCTCAGTAGACCAATATATTCCATGGCAGGACCATCATGCAAGGCAACACAGTCAAGCGGAGAGCTGAAAGTCTACCCAGACATGGAAAAGGGGCTTGAGCTGAGAGAGGAACTCTCCTGAAGCCTGATGCTGGGACCACACCACTTAATTACAGAGTATCACGAGCCCTCTTCTACCTCATGTAGTTTCTGTACCTTTGTCCAGCTGCAGCTGCAGCACAAAAGGTGAGGGAGAAGAAACCATTCTGTCTTCTTGGAAGATCAGAAAGAGGGTCTCAGAGAAGGAGCCCCAAAGCAAAGGAGTTTCAGAGAGGCAGGGGGGAGTGCATGGAGAGGCAGTAAAGCAAGGGGAGAAGGGGATGGGGAAGAAAGGAAAGTTGTTCTATTCTAGCATGATTTCCTAAGGAAATGACCCTTAATGCAATCATTTAGCTGGTCTGCTAGTTTCCTCCCCTACCCGCCACAAAGTGTTACTTGAACCAATTGGCCATTTTCACTCAAATGTGAAAGGAAGGCAGATAGAGGAAATTCCTACAAGCCTTGTGCAAATGAGCAGCTGGATAGAAGAGAGCCCTGCTGAGGGCAGAGTTGCTAACCAGAGAGCGAAGGAGCCCAAGGTCAGGAGCTGGCAGGAGAGAATTAGGAGACATAGGAGGCAAATCAGGAACAAATCTGATTTACTTTGCTAACCTCCTCAGGGAGGATTCACTTTATGCTAGCCCTAGAAAGGGCTAGAAGGGAGTGAAGTGGATCCACAGCTACAGTTTCTTTCTGCCGTGCTCCCACTCTCTGCTACCACTCCCTCATGGCAGAGAGGGACCCAATGAAGCTTCCGTTTTCAAGCAGTCAGACTTCCACCCAGGAGAGAAATGGCTGATCCCTCACTGAGGGTCTCTCACTTTACTTCTTAGAAAGGCAGAGGGAAGGAGAAACAAGAGCAAAGGCAGGTAGGATGGCATTCTTAAGAGCTGCACAGACACCTATGCCCAGCACTTCCTCCTAGCAGAAACAAGGCATGCAGCTAGTAAGTTCTGGCTTGTCGCTTGGTTAAAAGAAGGGAAAACAGAACAGGAAATAGGCAGAATAGGAAGCAAGCAGCAAGGGGAGAGAGATAAGGTCCCAGGCATGGAGTGAGTGATCCAGCTAAGTGAGCTGCCAGCATTAGTTAAGGGACCTTACTTAGCACACTGATACTGTTGCCCTGCCCGGGCCTCACAGTGGCAGGGCACTCGTTGGCCACTGACAATTGGCAGCTGTGTTCCCCCTCACTGCTCAGGGGTCATCAAGCTTCTGAAAATGAAAGCACTACTAAATGGAAAAGATCCCGTCTCAGCCAAGCTTTGAAGAAGAGCTTTGAACACTGAGCCCATCCTTTCCCCAGGGGACCTCCAGGCATCCTTTTTTTTTTTTTCCCCCCCTGAAAATTCTGATTTTCAAAGAAAGGTACACAGGCAATAAACCAATCCCCAGGGCGCTCCCAGGTTTTTACAATATGCTGCTGAAACTGGAGGAGATCCAGAATAACATAGAATAAAATCCATGGTAAAATACAGACAATTCAGGGAAATCCCCCATCTCCTGAACAATATTCTTAGCCTCAAGAGTCCCCAGGTGAGACAAGGGGAGAAGGCAGAGGCAGGCTCCTGTTCCTCTCTGACCTGGAAGTTCTCTGTCCTTGAATGGGTCATCAATCTCTGTGCTCTTCGATCTGGCATCGCTTTCACACACTGGGGTCTCATAGCTGAAAAAGGAGAACAACAGATGTTGAACCATGTTCAACAGGTATTCATATACCTTTAACTTCATCAGATGATTACTAAGGGTTCATCTCATCTGCTCACTGTGGGGAAGAAAACGATCAAAAACCTGCAGAAGAAATATTCTTCTCAACCATCAGGCTGCTTACAGACAGCCAGCAACACCAGCAGGAAGTGGAGAGAGGAGTAAGAGAACACTCAGCAGTCCAGCACTAGCTACCAGCTGAAATCCACAAACAGTACAAGGTCCTCACCCAGTTCTCATGGGCACAGATTGAGCTTTTTGTCAAAACTGTCCATATTCTGCAGAACCACTCTGTCTAGCAGAGTTTAGGTCCCAACTCCTACTGGCCTGTCTTTATAATGTGCCAGACCCAAAACTTGTTTCCAAATGACAAGAGAGAAAAGGTTCCCCCATACAGTTTTAAGATACTGAGGCAGTTAAAGACCAAATCTATCTTTGCCTTGAAATATATCAACAGACAACCAAGGCCCGCTCTGAAAGCATTCTAGACCTGTACTGATCAGGATCCAAGTGGCTACAGCATGTAAACATAAAGCAGAGGACAATGCAACAAAGCCACTTCCCTTTTACACCGCTCATGCCCCTGTCCTGTACTCTGAAAAAAAGGCCTGGTTCCTGCTACCACCCAAAGGCTGCAAGCCAGAAGATAGGGCTGATCTGTGAGGAAAAATTAACACAGAAAAAAGCAAAAGCAGTAGCTACTCTGTACCACCTCCCACAGAGGACAGTCAATATGTTACATCTTGTGAGGCATTGCTAGCTCTAGGGAAGGTCGTGCAGCAAAGGCTGACTGCTCTGGAACTAGCAATTTTATTTTCTTCATATATCATTTTCTCCTGGCAGGCATCTCTCCAGATTACCAGCTGGATTCAAGGTCTACAGCTCTTACCGAGTAGAAGTACCAGGCAAGGGTCGTCCTGTGTCCACCAGGACGCACCAGCAGTACCCAGTCGACTGGTGGCATTGCACCGGTTTGTACAGCCCTCCTGGAGCACACTCGGGGATGACGATACCCTCCCGAGGGTTCTGTCTTGCCTCCTCCAGGGCGCTTTGTCTTTCCTGGTCACATGAGTGAACTTTCTCTGGAAGATGGTAGGGAGAATGGGTCGGGGTAGAGAAAAAAAGTCAAATTAAGATCACCTTCCTCTGCTCAGCAGATTGTGGGATAACCTTGTCCCAGTAGGCCAGGGAGGCCTTTGTATCTGTTTCCTTGAGAGTAAACACCAGTATGCCCATGTTCCAATCCCTCCCTAGGGACTGAGAGGGACTTCTGGGCTGAGAGCTTCCTCCTACAATCAGTTATGACACTACAAAATTATGGATTATAGGCATCAGCTGCAAGGTGCCCAGCAAGCCAGAAACGGCAAGAGAACAGCCATGTGTTCCCATAAATCTGAATAACCCAGGTTTTGGAACAGATACATCGACTAACAATACTTAATTACTACTTCAGCCTTGGGGTAATCATTTCCCAGATGATGTTTTCAAATAGTCAGAGCTCCTCATTTGTGATTTGTGTTTTCCAGTTAAAAGGAGGAGGCAAACACTCTTCCCTGTTCCCACTATCTCCTTCTCCAAAATGCCTTGGCTGATCCATTTCTCCCTCTCAGCAGTGTCCCTTCAGCATGAGCCTGAGGGAGCAACTGCCTTTAACACTGCTTTTTCCAGTGCAGAGAGCACCTGCCACACATCTCCACAGGGAACAGAATGAGATACTATTCTCCCTGACATTGACATCGCCTCTCCGCCACACTCCACCCCAGGCCCACTTGGAAAACAGAGGGCATCCAGGCGTTGCTTTCTTAAGTACCCATGCTGAGAGACCAAAGGTAGGACCCTATCCCTCAGTAGCTTATTATGCAGAAAAGGTTATTTCCCAAAGACATTGTGAACCGGAGAACAGTGTACACAGATGACATGCACCAAAGAATGGAAGCCCAAAAAGTGGCTTCTAGAGTCCATCTGGCACCTTCTGCTTTAGAAACCTCCTCTTTTGCCACTGGCCACATAAGAGTAACATGTAGAGAAGTGCTGGGCTGCTGCCTCTTAAACGGATCAGCCACTAGAAGGGAAGGAGTTGCACACAGTCTACAAAGGACATTAATATTCAACAGCCAGAAGTTCTCAATTTGAAGTCTTCAAATATTCTGGTTCTTGGAGGAGCAAGAAGATGACTGCAGCTTCAAAAATCATTGAAGATATTAGGCAGAAAAAAGTGTGCATGGGGGAGAGAAAGCAGTCAAACCAGATAAACACAGGATTTAAAATAAGACTAAGTTTAGGGTAAAAATTAAAAAAAAAAAACAATATAACTCCTAACTTTGCCCTCAAGAGAGTGATGAAAAGCAGAAGTGGGAACAGCAGGTCTCTCAATCCCCAGCTTTCCTATCTCTTGCAGCTTATTTCTTTTTGCTCTTTTCTTTTTCATAAGCCACAGCATCTGAAATTCTTTTCCACAGCCAAGAATCACCTCAAGTTTTCAATACATAAAATGCTTCAACACTGTGGCATGCAATGATGCAACAGGTTGATACCGAACCTGCAGATGTTTCCATTGCCAGCCAGCAGACCTGGTGTTACATAAGCATCCTGCCCAGGGGATAGGCACAGCACCAGCATTCTCCCACTGCTTCCATGCATTTTGCCTACCTAGCTGTATCCAATCAGTTATGCCTATATTTTGGTAATAAATTCTGGGACAGGGAGTAATTCTTGTTCTGTATCTAGGAACACTAGGGGTCTTGTTTCACAACTAGAATTCTTCAGGTTGGTGCTAGCAGATCTAACAGAAATAACTCCAATCGTTCTGCACAGCGTCCCCTGAGTACAGAGCGCTTTAGGTTCCAGAGACGCTGCTTCTGATTTCTAATAGAGCTGTAGCAGCTAAAGAAAAGTGTTCTGAAGACCCACAACAGTCTCCTCTCCTCAGTAGTTTTCAGACTTTTCTTGAAGCTGGGAATGTGAAAGACACCTGAACTTTGCCACACACAAATCCACACAACTGAAATACAGAATAAGAACTTCTAAGTGCCGGCAAGTCTGACTCAAGCAGAGAGAAACCTGATCAGGAAGGAGCAGGAGGGAATAAAAACAACAAAAATTGAAAGGGAGCTCAATCCTCAGTCGATATTTAAGGTGACTTCACTTTGCTGAGAGATTTCACATCTTTAAGAAAAGGCCCTATGACTGTTCCCAAGCTGTATGTGGACAGAGAAGTCATTCAGTAAGAGGCCCACAGGCTTCTTAACAAATCAATTACATCACAAGGTGCCAGCTTGCTCAAGGGTTCTGCCTGACAGCAATTTACACCTTGGCCATCAGGTGAGCAGAACCATTTATGCAGCTTGATAAAGCAAAAAGATGCCTACCATCATTTTACATAATAAGCAAAAGAAAAAAAAAAACTTTCTACTGATGAGAACAACATTCCATGCATTTTTCTATCTAAATCCCAAAAGCTTCCTGAGTGCACAAATTCCAATTACGATTTCTCAGGTCCTTTTAGTCTTGCAAAACTAGCACTAAAAATGTTTCTGGGAAAAAAAAAAGTTTTTTGGGGGGTCAGGACAACAAAAAATGCCACTTCTTATTGAAAACACAGCAATTTATAAAAAGAAAGAAAAGCTTCTCTTTTAATGAGTATCTTACTTTACATACATATACAGTAAGGTATGCAAGTTACACAGAGAAAAATGTATAAACTTAAACAATGTTTGTACTATGTCATAAAAATGGCAAGAATTTCTCTGCACATATTAACAGAAATGTGTGGGAATGGATTAGTCAAAGAATTTGCTACCAGAATACAGAGCTAATTGATAGTCACTCCTGTTTGAAGAGTGTTTAAAGGCTGAATGCCATGAATTTTGCAATTTTTTCATTCAGCTGACATCAAATAGATGTAATGATGCAAAAACCGTTGTCACTACTAGTATTAAGTGGCCCTTCATTAGCAATCGTAGCAGTACAGCTGAAAGAGCAGGGAGATCAGACATTTTTCTCATCTCTGGAGTGCATCTAGAAGCAGCCACTCTAAAAGTCTCATCTATGCCATTGAATCCTGAATAATGTAAGAACAGACATACCGGAGCAAACCAAAGGCCCAACTTCTCTCTGCCCTCGTTTCTAAGAGTGGCCAAAAGCATGTGCTTAGTGAAGACTGGAGGAACAGGACAAGCATATACATGTTTCTCCCATATATTCATCCAACCTCAACCATTTGTGGATCAGAAGCTTGCAGAGACAGGCATAGACTTCTTATTTAGTAAACATCAATGGATCCCCTCTCCACTAATTTACCACATCTCCCCTCACAAACTTTCATTGCCTATGACATCCCACAACCAGTTCTGCAGCTTGACTATACATTGTGTGTAGAACATAGCACATCCTTTGGTTATATCTAAACCTGGCTCTAGCTAGTTCTGTTTGCTGAATATAGTTCTTCTGAAAGAAGAGACAAGGGACAACCATTTTGCAGTCATGCCTTCTCTGCTTCTCACTGCTTTATAGATTCCTATTCATATGTCTTTTACATGCTGAAGAGTCCCAGCTGTTCCAATTGTTCCTTCTCTGAACCTATTCCAGATCTGCTATACCTTCCTTGAGTTAGAGAGGCTCAGAACAACAAATGCATTGGCATTAAGTGGTGGCTCTGACAACAGCTTTGTGGAATGTTCCTTCAGTGACATCCATCTGCTAAGTGGATAGAGAGTACTAACCAGCACTAATCTCTGGAGAGGCTCTTTCCTCCAGGCTATCACTCTAACAGCACTTAATTTCCTTAAAAATAAAAAAGAATATTAACAGATAGAATATGTTCTAACAGCTAGCAAAATCAGCTGGGAAATCTGCACCATCAGCTTCCCAAATGCGAGATCTGGCACAAACTGCACACATTGCCACCCTGAAAGACAGTTTCACTGGTAATGAAGGGACCGTCAGATGCTGAGCCAGTCTCAGTACACTGAAGTCAACCCGTTCCAGTCAGATGGCTTACTGGAAATTTTGCTGTTGGTGCCAAGCCCAGGTTTTTGGAAGATAGTGAAAGCACATAGCCAAACCAGAACGTTCAATGCCAGCTATGAAATTAAGCTGTCATCTTTGAAAGAAGCATATCTTCTTTATTGTATGCGTGGGGTACTTAAAAGCCCATTCCCTGTTTGAATTTATGGGGGTTACAGGCACAGAAAGTTAAAGAGAAAAGGCTTTCTTCCCTTCCCTATGTCAAACATTTAGAGAGAGAGAAGAATGTTTAAGACAGCAAGTCAATGGCAGACCAACAGCCTTCCTAGTTGCAGCAATAATATTGTACTTTTTTTTTTTTTAAGGCACTGTCACATTCCACTATTTTCTGCCATCTTTCCGGTGACTTATGACAGCCATCAGCAAAAAGCTGAGTAACACTGCCAACCCTGTGTTGCTGGGGAGTGAAACCTTCAGGAGACAGGAAATCTAGATTACAACAAATCCAATGACAGTGAGAAAAGAAAGAGAATGTCTGCACACACAAATGACAGAATCACTGGCAAAAAAATCCATTTTACCTTAACTGTTCAGCTCTAAAATGCTAACTATTTGTTATTTTTCACCCTTGACTGTTTCTAACACTCCTTAAAACATTTTTAAAAGCAGCATCTCTGAAGCCATGAACTATTGCAGTAAAACAGGACTAGGATATCTGCAGTTGTGCTTTATTTATGAAACAACTTTCCCCTAGTAACGGCCTTCTAAGAAATACATCGCCACATTCATAAAAAGGTCTCTCATTCCTGGTCTTGTAAGCACACATGTTCAAACATACATCTAGCGCCTTCACACTAGAAATGACAGATGAGGTAAGGGACTCATCTAATTGTCTTTTAAACGAGATGGTTATTAAAGAGATGAGGTGCTTGTTTACCTTAGAAAGTTGAGAAGAGAGAATATCTAACTGCTTCTAGCCAAAGGCTTCTGCTTAACAGCTCTCATGATCAGCTTGCAGGGCTAGACGCAGCCAAAGCTCTGCTCTGGGGACTAGGCAGCCTCCCCCCACTTTCCTCCTGTCACATAGCAACTTGCTTTGCTATCAGAGCCAAAGGAT